TGTGTTCATTCACATATTCCAGTGCGGTGTATGAGCCAGTCATACTCTCCCTTTTTCTAGGAACAAATCAAGAGGGAGTCGACCCTCCCGTCCGAACAGCAACATGTATGGCGCAAAGCCGGTTGTGGCATGGGGTGTGCAGTTGTATAGATATACCAACTCTGGGAGAAAATCAGGCCAACGTTTTTTCTGTTCAGGTTCTAGCGTACGCAGCAAATCATGCATGCTGCGGTTGAACCGTTCACACTGTCCGTTTCCTTTCGGATTAAATGTGGTTGTTCTAGATTTGTTGATCCCGTAGTGGCTGCACAGTTGGTTAATTACTTCTGACTCGAAAGCCCTTCCTTGGTCAGAGTGTAATTGTCTTGGTATGCCATATTTGATGAACCAATGTTCTATTAAGACCTTTGCCACTGTTTTGGCAGTCTGATCTCGCGTGGGCACCGCCACAGTCCATTTGGTGAATACATCAGTCATTACCAACACATGTTCCGTCCCATCCGATGATTGCTCCAACGACGTAAAGTCCATAGCCACAATCTCTAGTGGTTTTGTCGCTAGTAGGTGTCCTGATGGCTGTCTCAATTTGACAACTGGCATTTTCGCATGCTGACACCTCACACAAGCCTCACAATGGCGTTTGACCTCCATTTCCATATTGGGCCAGTAACACCTCCGTCGTAATATTTTGTGCGTCCTGTCCTGACCCTGGTGTCCTGCCCTGTCATGTGCCAACCTTAGCACTTCTTCTCGTAACTGTCCAGGCACCACCACCTGGTGTATTGTCCCATCAATTTGGTCATGAATTCTCCGCATGAGAACACCATCCTCTATACTGAGACGGTCCCCACTGACTCAGTATTTTCTTTGTTTCTCGACCAAATTGTTCTCTTTCCCTTCTTCCTGGGAATTTTTGTTCCTGGACGTATTTCAATAGCGGTTGTAAGCCACTATCCGTTCTCTGGGCATCTCTTATCTTTTTGTGATTAAGGCAATTAAAATCACTACTGTCCATATGTTCGGGCTCTGTGGATATGTGCTCCACCCCGGTCTGCCCGTTTTGCATCACTTGCACCCCATGAGGGATATCTGTTGACGCTCTGACCTCACATATTCCTGTCAGCGTTTCTTCCTCATCGCCCGGTCTCTCGTAAGGATTCCTTGATAAGGCGTCCGCATTGACATTGGACCACCCCGGGCGATGTTTTCTCTCTAGGTCAACGAGTGCCAATTCTGCTGCCCATCGCTGTTCGATGGATCCCAGCCTTGCTGTACTTTGAAGTTCTTTTTCAATATCGGATAATTTCTCTTCAAGTCTTGTTTGAGACTCTTTCATTTCTTCTAGTTTGCCAACACTGTTCTGTTGTCTACTATTTTTATTTACTTCTTCCGATAACAGACACTCTAAAGATGAACATTTCTCCTGTGCTTTTAATTTGCATGACCTTTCCCTATCCAGTTTCCTGGTTAGACTTTGAATTCCTTTATTAAGTCTACCAATTTTCTTCTTATCATCATTTTTCTCTACCAACGAATTGTTCACTTGAAACTTTTCAACATCCCAGTTCATTTCACAGTTCATTTTTTCCATTAGTTGTGTTTTGCCTTTCTTTTTCTCCTTACTGTGTTTCTTTGTCATTTTGTTTACTAAGTCATTACCTCGCCGCTCTGTAGCCTTGACCTGCCGTACAGAGGGCGATCGTTTCACCGGACAGTACCGTGCCATATGTCCGGGTTGTGAACAGGACAAGCAAATTGGTCGACCGTCGGCCGTCCATTGGAGTGATGGCTTGGCAGGACGCGGCCGTCCAACCCGTCTCTGTTTTGTCCCGTTTTTGCCCTGATTCTCAGCTGTTGACCTGCTCTCTAACCTCTCCAATCGTTGGTCAACCTTAACCAGGTGGGCCAACAGTTGAGCCATCATGGTCTCCATCGTGTCGGCCCCTGTGGGTGGGGATTGTCTCTGTTCAGGCACCGAGACTTTGTCCACCGAACAGTTCGATTGGTCCTCATCCTCGGACCTGCGGATCGCTGAGTTCCTGACCTGAAGGAAGGTCAACTGCGGGTCTTTGTGGACCTCCTCTTTCAGCTCTCTTCTTAGGATCGGGGTTGCCAGCCCCTCAATGAAATGGTCCCTCAGTAGGCGCACATCAATGTCAGGTGTTTTGACCTTTACCGAATCAAAGGCCCTGTTCATCCGGTGTGAGTACTCCATCACACTCTCCGCCAACCTCTGCCTTAAGCCTACGAACCCTGCCAGCAGTTGCGATCCCGACCGTCTCTCCCCAAAGGTCTCCATAATCAGATCCAGCACCTTATCCGGATCTGATTGGATGGTTTTATCGTGGCATTTGACCTCTGCCCTGACCGTCTCTCCTATACTTCCCATCAGCAGTCTTAATCTTTCCTCTGGTGACATAAATCTTGAGGCCCAGGCCGCTTTGACCTCTTCACTGAACCTGTTGGTTAAAGTTGGATCCCCGTCCCCGTAAAATTTGTTAATGTGGGACTCTCTGGGTAGGACCACTATATGGGTCTGCTTCTCGTCCAGAGTAGACATTTTATCCCGTAAGTAAAACAAAAGAGTTCTTTCTTACCGTGTGTGTATGAAAAAATTTTCCTCAATTTTCACAGTTCCTGAATGTCCGAATTCACATACACACAAAACACAGTTATGCACAAGGTTGACTATGGGTGCCTCAACCGGCAAGTCTAGTTGAATTCATCCTGATCGCAGCGCCAAATGTGACCTTCCCCGAGTCTATCCTGCCCGACAACGCCAATTGTAACGAGTTGAACCACTCATGCTACACAACATCGACTACAGTAGAAAGACTCGAAGATGCAGGTTCGCTATTGATCCTTTTATTACATGAATCAAGAAATGCTTCAATATAACACAATGAATCAACAGGAATGTTTCACAATAATAGTCTGAATCAACTGACCCCTAACAGTCCTCACTAGGCTTCATATAACTGAATCCACATGTCTATTGTCCTTCTTAACACAATATAACCAACTTGATATGTCACACAGACTGACTGATCTAAAGCGAGCGATGAAGAGGGAAGAGAACGAGTTCCGCCGTCCCCTCCTATTTATCTCTTGTATCCGTACTCGTCTTTGTACTTGTATTCCTCCGTAATCGATACTTGTACTCGATGTCTCCGACCACTAGTTGCGCAGTTCTACGTACAGTCCGTGAAATAACATCTGCATCCTATCAATCAAAGTTGACAGGCTGTCTGAATCCCCTCGTACCGTTTCCCAAAATAGCACGCGTTGGCTTTGAGATCGTCATCAGTCCGATCCAATAAGCCACCTGCTATGTTGCGTCAGACTGTAATACTGCGTCTCGGCTTATCGTTCGTTATCAGATTTGTAACTAGTGGCTAGGCCTACCCTAGTCACATATATATATATGAATATATATATATATATATTCATATATATATATATATTCATATATATATATATATATATTCATATATATATATATATATATATATATATATATTCATATATATATATATATATATATATATATATATATATATATATATATATATATTCATATATATATATATATATATATATATATATATATATATATATATATATATATATATATATATTCATATATATATATATATTCATATATATATATATATATTCATATATATATATATACATTCATGTGTGTATATATATGTGTATATATATATATATATATATATGAGTGTATATATATATGTATGTATATATATATATGTGTATATATATGTGTGTGTAAATATATGTGTGTGTATTTATCTGTGTATATATATGTGTGTGTATATATATGTGTGTGTATATATATGAATATATATATCTGTGTATATATATGTGTGTATATATATGTTTACATATATCAGTGTATATATATGTGTGTATATATGTATACATGTGTGTATGTACATGTATATATATATATATGTATGTATATATATATGTTTATATATATATATATATATATATATATATATATATATATATATATATATATATATATATATATATATATATATATATATATATATGTATACCTACATATTTAGTTGCAATTGGTGTCACACCCCACCCATTTTGCCAAATTGCAGGAAATTGTGGACACATTATTTTAGTTCACCTATGAATTCAGGTGGGTAATAGCAATGTTTTCATAGTAAATTACTAGATAAGGTGTGACGCGGTCATTGACTGACTAATAAGTTATTAAAAATATTCAAGTACACTCTTTTTTTTCTATGTAAATTTGCAGTGTGCACAGTAGTAAAGATGTTTGGTAAAACCATAGTTTAGCGTTGGTTATTATTCCGGAATCGTATAGCAATAAAAAACAGTAAAACAATGACAAAGTCTTTCACACACTTCCAGAATCCACCGGAAGTACTGTAAACCATACTTTATTTGGCGCATTCTTTTATTTCTTATACAGAATATTTAAAATTTGGATATATTTATTTTATTTGTGTGTTAAATACTGCTTTATTAATCATTTTGTATAACTAGTTATTTTTAAGTGTTTCAGCTAAATATTTCTACTACTAAACATTGTTAAACAGGGTTTGTTAATCATGGTGTCACTAATACACCAGGATGTAGCATCATTTTCTCTATAGTTAGCAGCTTTATGTCATGGTGTCACTAATACACCAGGATGTAGCATCATTTTCTCTATAGTTAGCAGCTTTATGTCATGGTGTCACACCCCAACCCCTTCCCGACGTCGTCAATTAGTACTTAAAAGACTTTTTTAATTCAGATAATAACCTTAAGAAGAAAATTGTTTATGGTGTTTAAAATACAAGTTTTATGACCCCATTCCAAGCTTATACTAACAAAAATGTTTCAGATCTTAAATTGTAAAAACTGTGCATATCCCCTTAAACTATTTAGTTGAAAATCCATGATAACAGAGGGTTAAACCATACCTAATCAGATTGAAGCTAACCTACCTTAGTGGCAACTGGGCCTATGCTCTCATTATCCATGCAGCTTTTTTTCTGATACTCTTCCTCTTTTTTAATAATAGCATTCCAGTATTCATAGTTTTCTTTCAGGTTTTTAGTCAGCCAACAGTTGACTTTTCTCACTGGTTTGTGCTGCTCATTCAAGCCTAGGGCAAACATTGGAAGCCATCAGACATTACTACAAGTGACAAATCTCAAGGATCAAACACTGACAAATCTCAAGGACCAAACACTGACAAATCTCAAGGACCAAACACTGACAAATCTCAAGGACCAAACACTGACAAATCTCAAGGACCAAACACTGACAAATCTCAAGGATCAAACACTGACAAATCTCAAGGACCAAACACTGACAAATCTCAAGGACCAAACACTGACAAATCTCAAGGATCAAACACTGACAAATCTCAAGGATCAAACACTGACAAATCTCAAGGACCAAACACTGACAAATCTCAAGGACCAAACACTGACAAATCTCAAGGACCAAACACTGACAAATCTCAAGGACCAAACACTGACAAATCTCAAGAATCAAACACTGACAAATCTCAAGGACCAAACACTGACAAATCTCAAGGACCAAACACTGACAAATCTCAAGGACCAAACACTGACAAATCTCAAGGATCAAACACTGACAAATCTCAAGGACCAAACACTGACAAATCTCAAGGACCAAACACTGACAAATCTCAAGGACCAAACAAATCTCAAGGACCAAACACTGACAAATCTCAAGGACCAAACAAATCTCAAGGACCAAACACTGACAAATCTCAAGGACCAAACAAATCTCAAGGACCAAACACTGACAAATCTCAAGGACCAAACACTGACAAATCTCAAGGACCAAACACTGACAAATCTCAAGGACCAAACAAATCTCAAGGACCAAACACTGACAAATCTCAAGGATCAAACACTGACAAATCTCAAGGACCAAACACTGACAAATCTCAAGGACCAAACACTGACAAATCTCAAGGACCAAACACTGACAAATCTCAAGGACCAAACAAATCTCAAGGACCAAACACTGACAAATCTCAAGGATCAAACACTGACAAATCTCAAGGACCAAACACTGACAAATCTCAAGGACCAAACACTGACAAATCTCAAGGACCAAACACTGACAAATCTCAAGGACCAAACAAATCTCAAGGACCAAACACTGACAAATCTCAAGGATCAAACACTGACAAATCTCAAGGACCAAACACTGACAAATCTCAAGGACCAAACACTGACAAATCTCAAGGACCAAACACTGACAAATCTCAAGGACCAAACACTGACAAATCTCAAGGATCAAACACTGACAAATCTCAAGGACCAAACACTGACAAATCTCAAGGATCAAACACTGACAAATCTCAAGGACCAAACACTGACAAATCTCAAGGACCAAACACTGACAAATCTCAAGGATCAAACACTGACAAATCTCAAGGACCAAACACTGACAAAGCTCTCAAGAAAATAAAAACACGAAATCCTCCCAGTAACAGGGCTGCCTACTCTACAAACTTTGTTCAGTAACAATAACATACATTTTCTGTAATCATTTGATACTAACTGTAATGTCCAGTATTTTCTGTAATCATTTGATACTAACTGTAATGTCCAGTATTTTCTGTAATCATTTGATACTAACTGTAATGTCCAGTATTTTCTGTAATCATTTGATACTAACTGTAATGTCCAGTATTTTCTGTAATCATTTGATACTAACTGTAATGTCCAGTATTTTCTGTAATCATTTGATACTAACTGTAATGTCCAGTATTTTCTGTAATCATTTGATACTAACTGTAATGTCCAGTATTTTCTGTAATCATTTGATACTAACTGTAATGTCCAGTATTTTCTGTAATCATTTAATATTAACCCTAACCCAACAGGCCCAATTAGGAAACTGTTCATGCTATGAAATAAGCTATAGGCCTACCCTACTGATATTTTAACCAAGCGAACTCAGTGACCCTTCAACAGTGTCAGAATTTTTCTTCCGTTCACGCATCACAAAATGCTTAGAATTTGCATATCTAGGCCAAGAAAAGATAATTTTAAAAAGAAGCACTTGTGATTGATCTAGGTGGGCCTGGCACATCTAGAACAAAACAAATTGTGTCTGGCTATTAACTCCACAAGTAATGTTAACCACACCCAGATCATTTCATAAATAAATACACACACACACACATTTTAATTTGATGACTTGAACCTCAGATTATATTTCTTGAAAAACATAGAACTAAGACAACAGAAACCTAAGACAACATAGACCTAAGACAACAGAGACCTAAGACAACATAGACCTAAGACAACAGAGACCTAACATGACAGAGACCTAAGACAACATAGACCTAAGACGACAGAGACCTAAGACAACATAGACCTAAGACAACAGAGACCTAAGACAACATAGACCTAAGACAACAGAGACCTAACACGACAGAGACCTAAGACAACATAGACCTAAGACAACAGAGACCTAAGACAACAGAGACCTAAGATGACAGAGACCTAAGACGACAGAGACCTAAGACAACAGAGACCTAAGACAACATAGACCTAAGACAACAGAGACCTAAGACAACAGAGACCTAACATTGCCACTCCTGCCTGCCATGATATTGGGCAGGAAATAATGGGGGGGGGGGGGGCATTGTTACGGAAGATGGTTAAAAATAGCTGAAATTTTAACTTGATAGATATAAAATTCAGACCAGAATTCAAAAGTTACCACAAGCAAAACAAAACAAACAAAATCCTCCCACTAATTATACAAGAATGGAACAATGACCACAACAGAGATAACAAAAATCTGCTGACCTAATTCATTATCTGTGTCCTCATCCTCTGTATCTTTATTGCACATGTCCAAGTTGTCTGGAACTTGAAACAATATTAGACAAGACATTGACATCTCTATATTCAAGGTTTGAAACAAGACATACTAGACTTGGTAAACTGACCTTCTTCTGCGTCCCCCTCCACCCAGGTACCAGGCAGCAAGCCAGCCGTAACCATGGCATTACACAAGGGTGAAACCAGATGGTTGATAAATGTCTCTTGGAGTTTAGCTAACTGAGGGTTTCGCCGATCCATGTACGGAGAAATGGTTAGGCCAAGGCTGGCCTCTTCATCCCCCTGGAATCAGCAAATCCAATGGTTACAGCAGAATCACTAGGTCACTACACCATCAACTACATAGGTCACTACACCATCAACTACATAGATCACTACACCATCAAATACATAGATCACTACACCATCAAATACATAGGTCACTACACCATCAAATACATAGGTCACTACACCATCAAATACATAGGTCACTACACCATCAAATACATAGGTCACTACACCATCAACTACATAGGTCACTACACCATCAACTACATAGGTCACTACACCATCAACTACATAGGTCACTACACCATCAAATACATAGGTCACTACATCAGAGAAAATATTCTCCAACTAAATGGCGCATTAAGGTACCTGATGGAGAAGCATTGCAATGGTGTGGTTAACTTTATCTGATGGAGAAGCATTGCAATGGTGTGGTTAACTTTATCTGATGGAGGGGCATTGCAATGGTGTGGTTAACTTTATCTGATGGAGAAGCATTGCAATGGTGTGGTTAACTTTATCTGATGGAGAAGCATTGCAATGGTGTGGTTAACTTTATCTGATGGAGGGGCATTGCAATGGTGTGGTTAACTTTATCTGATGGAGGGGCATTGCAATGGTGTGGTTAACTTTATCTGATGGAGGGGCATTGCAATGGTGTGGTTAACTTTATCTGATGGAGAAGCATTGCAATGGTGTGGTTAACTTTATCTGATGGAGAAGCATTGCAATGGTGTGGTTAACTTTATCTGATGGAGAAGCATTGCAATGGTGTGGTTAACTTTATCTGATGGAGAAGCATTGCAATGGTGTGGTTAACTTTATCTGATGGAGAAGCATTGCAATGGTGTGGTTAACTTTATCTGATGGAGAAGCATTGCAATGGTGTGGTTAACTTTATCTGATGGAGAAGCATTGCAATGGTGTGGTTAACTTTATCTGATGGAGAAGCATTGCAATGGTGTGGTTAACTTTATCTGATGGAGGGACATTGCAATGGTGTGGTTAACTTTATCTGATGGAGAAGCATTGCAATGGTGTGGTTAACTTTATCTGATGGAGAAGCATTGCAATGGTGTGGTTAACTTTATCTGATGGAGAAGCATTGCAATGGTGTGGTTAACTTTATCTGATGGAAAAGCATTGCAATGGTGTGGTTAACTTTATCTGATGGAGGGACATTGCAATGGTGTGGTTAACTTTATCTGATGGAGAAGCATTGCAATGGTGTGGTTAACTTTATCTGATGGAGAAGCATTGCAATGGTGTGGTTAACTTTATCTGATGGAGAAGCATTGCAATGGTGTGGTTAACTTTATCTGATGGAGAAGCATTGCAATGGTGTGGTTAACTTTATCTGATGGAGAAGCATTGCAATGGTGTGGTTAACTTTATCTGATGGAGAAGCATTGCAATGGTGTGGTTAACTTTATCTGATGGAGGGGCATTGCAATGGCGTGGTTAACTTTATCTGATGGAGAAGCATTGCAATGGTGTGGTTAACTTTATCTGATGGAGAAGCATTGCAATGGTGTGGTTAACTTTATCTGATGGAGGGGCATTGCAATGGCGTGGTTAACTTTATCTGATGGAGAAGCATTGCAATGGCATGGTTAACTTTATCTGATGGAGAAGCATTGCAATGGTGTGGTTAACTTTATCTGATGGAGAAGCATTGCAATGGTGTGGTTAACTTTATCTGATGGAGAAGCATTGCAATGGTGTGGTTAACTTTATCTGATGGAAAAGCATTGCAATGGTGTGGTTAACTTTATCTGATGGAGGGACATTGCAATGGTGTGGTTAACTTTATCTGATGGAGAAGCATTGCAATGGTGTGGTTAACTTTATCTGATGGAGAAGCATTGCAATGGTGTGGTTAACTTTATCTGATGGAGAAGCATTGCAATGGTGTGGTTAACTTTATCTGATGGAGAAGCATTGCAATGGTGTGGTTAACTTTATCTGATGGAGAAGCATTGCAATGGTGTGGTTAACTTTATCTGATGGAGAAGCATTGCAATGGTGTGGTTAACTTTATCTGATGGAGGGGCATTGCAATGGCGTGGTTAACTTTATCTGATGGAGAAGCATTGCAATGGTGTGGTTAACTTTATCTGATGGAGAAGCATTGCAATGGTGTGGTTAACTTTATCTGATGGAGGGGCATTGCAATGGCGTGGTTAACTTTATCTGATGGAGAAGCATTGCAATGGCATGGTTAACTTTATCTGATGGAGAAGCATTGCAATGGTGTGGTTAACTTTATCTGATGGAGGGGCATTGCAATGGTTTGGTTAATTACATTCTAGTCTTGTCTTTAACACCGAGGAAATGAGCAATGCACAGATGGCAAAGATAACCCTTACCCAAATCAACATGTTTTTCAGTTTTGTTAATTAGAATTTCTCAGAATATTTCTAAACTATTGTTCATTTTTATAGCTCCCACAATATTGGCAGCTGACATTTGCCATATAATAGGCATAGGTTGATCTAGACCCAAACATTGAAACGAAAACAAATGACAAAGGAAATAATAGGATTTTCCATGCTCTTTTTTTTTGCATTTTTAAAAAGTTGAACAGCAGCAAACTTTGATTAAGTTACAGGGTGGAATGAGGTGCATTTTTTTATTTAAAAAGTTTTTGGCAGGACAGTCTGCACCCATCTGGACTTGTGAGGGTGGAGAGGGAGATGTATCAAAAGAGACATTTGAGTAGAGGGTGGAGAGGGAGATGTATCAAAAGAGACATTTGAGTAGAGGGTGGAGAGGGAGATGTATCAAAAGAGACAATTGAGTAGAGGGTGGAGAGGGAGATGTATCAAAAGAGACATTTGAGTAGAGGGTGGAGAGGGAGATGTATCAAAAGAGACATTTGAGTAGAGGGTGGAGAGGGAGATGTATCAAAAGAGACAATTGAGTAGAGGGTGGAGAGGGAGATGTATCAAAAGAGACAATTGAGTAGAGGGTGGAGAGGGAGATGTATCAAAAGAGACAATTGAGTAGAGGGTGGAGAGGGAAATGTATCAAAAGAGACAATTGAGTAGAGGAGGAGGGAGATGTATCAAAAGAGACAATTGAGTAGAGGAGGAGGGAGATGTATCAAAAGAGACAATTGAGTAGAGGGTGGAGAGGGAGATGTATCAAAAGAGACAATTGAGTAGAGGGTGGAGAGGGAGATGTATCAAAAGAGACAATTGAGTAGAGGGTGGAGAGGGAGATGTATCAAAAGAGACAATTGAGTAGAGGGTGGAGAGGGAGATGTATCAAAAGAGACAATTGAGTAGAGGGTGGAGAGGGAGATGTATCAAAAGAGACATTTGAGTAGAGGGTGGAGAGGGAAATGTATCAAAAGAGACATTTGAGTAGAGGAGGAGGGAGATGTATCAAAAGAGACAATTGAGTAGAGGGTGGAGAGGGAGATGTATCAAAAGAGACAATTGAGTAGAGGGTGGAGAGGGAGATGTATCAAAAGAGACATTTGAGTAGAGGGTGGAGAGGGAGATGTATCAAAAGAGACATTTGAGTAGAGGGTGGAGAGGGAGATGTATCAAAAGAGACAATTGAGTAGAGGAGGAGGGAGATGTATCAAAAGAGACAATTGAGTAGAGGGTGGAGAGGGAGATGTATCAAAAGAGACATTTGAGTAGAGGAGGAGGGAGATGTATCAAAAGAGACATTTGAGTAGAGGAGGAGGGAGATGTATCAAAAGAGACAATTGAGTAGAGGGTGGAGAGGGAGATGTATCAAAAGAGACAATTGAGTAGAGGGTGGAGAGGGAAATGTATCAAAAGAGACATTTGAGTAGAGGAGGAGGGAGATGTATCAAAAGAGACAATTGAGTAGAGGGTGGAGAGGGAGATGTATCAAAAGAGACAATTGAGTAGAGGGTGGAGAGGGAGATGTATCAAAAGAGACATTTGAGTAGAGGGTGGAAAGGGAGATGTATCAAAAGAGACATTTGAGTAGAGGGTGGAGAGGGAGATGTATCAAAAGAGACAATTGAGTAGAGGGTGGAGAGGGAGATGTATCAAAAGAGACATTTGAGTAGAGGAGGAGGGAGATGTATCAAAAGAGACATTTGAGTAGAGGAGGAGGGAGATGTATCAAAAGAGACATTTGAGTAGAGGAGGAGGGAGATGTATCAAAAGAGACATTTGAGTAGAGGAGGAGGGAGATGTATCAAAAGAGACAATTGAGTAGAGGGTGGAGAGGGAGATGTATCAAAAGAGACAATTGAGTAGAGGGTGGAGAGGGAAATGTATCAAAAGAGACATTTGAGTAGAGGAGGAGGGAGATGTATCAAAAGAGACAATTGAGTAGAGGGTGGAGAGGGAGATGTATCAAAAGAGACAATTGAGTAGAGGGTGGAGAGGGAGATGTATCAAAAGAGACATTTGAGTAGAGGGTGGAGAGGGAGATGTATCAAAAGAGACATTTGAGTAGAGGGTGGAGAGGGAGATGTATCAAAAGAGACAATTGAGTAGAGGGTGGAGAGGGAGATGTATCAAAAGAGACAATTGAGTAGAGGGTGGAGAGGGAGATGTATCAAAAGAGACAATTGAGTAGAGGAGGAGGGAGATGTATCAAAAGAGACATTTGAGTAGAGGAGGAGGGAGATGTATCAAAAGAGACATTTGAGTAGAGGGTGGAGAGGGAGATGTATCAAAAGAGACAATTGAGTAGAGGGTGGAGAGGGAAATGTATCAAAAGAGACAATTGAGTAGAGGAGGAGGGAGATGTATCAAAAGAGACATTTGAGTAGAGGGTGGAGAGGGAGATGTATCAAAAGAGACATTTGAGTAGAGGAGGAGGGAGATGTATCAAAAGAGACATTTGAGTAGAGGGTGGAGAGGGAGATGTATCAAAAGAGACAATTGAGTAGAGGGTGGAGAGGGAGATGTATCAAAAGAGACAATTGAGTAGAGGGTGGAGAGGGAAATGTATCAAAAGAGACAATTGAGTAGAGGAGGAGGGAGATGTATCAAAAGAGACAATTGAGTAGAGGGTGGAGAGGGAGATGTATCAAAAGAGACAATTGAGTAGAGGGTGGAGAGGGAGATGTATCAAAAGAGACATTTGAGTAGAGGGTGGAGAGGGAAATGTATCAAAAGAGACAATTGAGTAGAGGAGGAGGGAGATGTATCAAAAGAGACAATTGAGTAGAGGGTGGAGAGGGAGATGTATCAAAAGAGACAATTGAGTAGAGGGTGGAGAGGGAGATGTATCAAAAGAGACATTTGAGTAGAGGGTGGAGAGGGAAATGTATCAAAAGAGACAATTGAGTAGAGGAGGAGGGAGATGTATCAAAAGAGACAATTGAGTAGAGGGTGGAGAGGGAGATGTATCAAAAGAGACAATTGAGTAGAGGGTGGAGAGGGAGATGTATCAAAAGAGACATTTGAGTAGAGGGTGGAGAGGGAAATGTATCAAAAGAGACAATTGAGTAGAGGAGGAGGGAGATGTATCAAAAGAGACATTTGAGTAGAGGAGGAGGGAGATGTATCAAAAGAGACAATTGAGTAGAGGGTGGAGAGGGAGATGTATCAAAAGAGACAATTGAGTAGAGGAGGAGGGAGATGTATCAAAAGAGACAATTGAGTAGAGGGTGGAGAGGGAGATGTATCAAAAGAGACATTTGAGTAGAGGGTGGAGAGGGAAATGTATCAAAAGAGACAATTGAGTAGAGGAGGAGGGAGATGTATCAAAAGAGACATTTGAGTAGAGGAGGAGGGAGATGTATCAAAAGAGACAATTGAGTAGAGGGTGGAGAGGGAAATGTATCAAAAGAGACAATTGAGTAGAGGAGGAGGGAGATGTATCAAAAGAGACAATTGAGTAGAGGGTGGAGAGGGAAATGTATCAAAAGAGACATTTGAGTAGAGGGTGGAGAGGGAGATGTATCAAAAGAGACATTTGAGTAGAGGAGGAGGGAGATGTATCAAAAGAGACAATTGAGTAGAGGGTGGAGAGGGAGATGTATCAAAAGAGACATTTGAGTAGAGGAGGAGGGAGATGTATCAAAAGAGACATTTGAGTAGAGGAGGAGGGAGATGTATCAAAAGAGACAATTGAGTAGAGGGTGGAGAGGGAGATGTATCAAAAGAGACATTTGAGTAGAGGAGGAGGGAGATGTATCAAAAGAGACAATTGAGTAGAGGGTGGAGAGGGAGATGTATCAAAAGAGACATTTGAGTAGAGGAGGAGGGAGATGTATCAAAAGAGACAATTGAGTAGAGGGTGGAGAGGGAGATGTATCAAAAGAGACAATTGAGTAGAGGGTGGAGAGGGAGATGTATCAAAAGAGACAATTGAGTAGAGGGTGGAGAGGGAAATGTATCAAAAGAGACAATTGAGTAGAGGGTGGAGAGGGAGATGTATCAAAAGAGACAATTGAGTAGAGGGTGGAGAGGGAGATGTATCAAAAGAGACAATTGAGTAGAGGAGGAGGGAAATGTATCAAAAGAGACAATTGAGTAGAGGGTGGAGAGGGAAATGTATCAAAAGAGACAATTGAGTAGAGGGTGGAGAGGGAGATGTATCAAAAGAGACATTTGAGTAGAGGAGGAGGGAGATGTATCAAAAGAGACAATTGAGTAGAGGGTGGAGAGGGAGATGTATCAAAAGAGACATTTGAGTAGAGGAGGAGGGAGATGTATCAAAAGAGACATTTGAGTAGAGGAGGAGGGAGATGTATCAAAAGAGACAATTGAGTAGAGGGTGGAGAGGGAAATGTATCAAAAGAGACATTTGAGTAGAGGGTGGAGAGGGAGATGTATCAAAAGAGACATTTGAGTAGAGGGTGGAGAGGGAGATGTATCAAAAGAGACAATTGAGTAGAGGGTGGAGAGGGAAATGTATCAAAAGAGACAATTGAGTAGAGGAGGAGGGAGATGTATCAAAAGAGACAATTGAGTAGAGGGTGGAGAGGGAGATGTATCAAAAGAGACAATTGAGTAGAGGGTGGAGAGGGAGATGTATCAAAAGAGACAATTGAGTAGAGGAGGAGGGAGATGTATCAAAAGAGACAATTGAGTAGAGGGTGGAGAGGGAGATGTATCAAAAGAGGCAATTGAACAAGAAGTAGCAAATATTACAGGTGAAATTTGAACTAGATGAATGTCAAATTCTCGACCAGGAAATGTAGATGGCAGGCATGTCTGGTAGATGGCCATAGGAGAAACAATGATGCTGGTGGTAGTAACATAGAACTTGAATATTTAATACTAACTACATAGAAGTCAAACTTGAATATTTAATACTAACTACATAGAAGTCAAACTTGAATACTTAATACTAACTACATACAAGTCAAACTTGAATATTTAATACTAACTACATACAAGTCAAACTTGAATATTTAATACTAACTACATAGAAGTCAAACTTGAATATTTAATACTAACTACATAGAAGTCAAACTTGAATATTTAATACTAACTACATAGAAGTCAAACTTGAATATTTAATACTAACTACATAGAAGTCAAACTTGAATATTTAATACTAACTACATACAAGTCAAACTTGAATATTTAATACTAACTACATACAAGTCAAACTTGAATATTTAATACTAACTACATAGAAGTCAAACTTGAATATTTAATACTAACTACATACAAGTCAAACTTGAATATTTATTACTAACTACATAGAAGTCAAACTTGAATATTTAATACTAACTACATAGAAGTCAAACTTGAATATTTAATACTAACTACATAGAAGTCAAACTTGAATATTTAATACTTAATACTAACTACATACAAGTCAAACTTGAATATTTAATACTAACTACATAGAAGTCAAACTTGAATATTTAATACTAACTACATAGAAGTCAAACTTGAATATTTAATACTAACTACATAGAAGTCAAACTTGAATATTTAATACTAACTACATAGAAGTCAAACTTGAATATTTAATACTAACTACATAGAAGTCAAACTTGAATATTTAATACTAACTACATAGAAGTCAAACTTGAATATTTAATAATTAATACTAACTACATACAAGTCAAACTTGAATATTTAATACTAACTACATAGAAGTCAAACTTGAATATTTAATACTTACTACATAGAAGTCAAACTTGAATATTTACTACGTGTCACTAACTACATAGAAGTCAAACTTGAATATTTACTACGTGTCACTAACTACATAGAACTCAAACTTGAATATTTAATACGTGTCACTAACTACATAGAACTTAAACTTGAATATTTACCACGTGCCACTAACTACAAGTACCTGCTCATAAAATTCTTCTGCTATTCTGTAGGTCCACTTGCGATGTAACTCCTGACGTTTAGCAGGACCATTAATGTCTGCCAGCTTGATGACCATCTGAGTCACCAGTAATCTGTCCGTTTCCACAGTCCAATCTATTCCGGCTGAATCATCGTCATTCACCTGACAGATACAACAGGGAACTTCATGGACCAGTGGGTAGAGTGAACATGGACCAGTGGGTAGAGTGGACATGGACCAGTGGGTAGAGTGGACATGGACCAGTGGGTAGAGTGGACATGGACCAGTGGGTAGAGTGGACATGGACCAGTGGGTAGAGTGGACATGGACCAGTGGGTAGAGTGGACATGGACCAGTGGGTAGAGTGGACATGGACCAGTGGGTAGAGTGGACATGGACCAGTGGGTAGAGTGGACATGGACCAGTGGGTAGAGTGGACATGGACCAGTGGGTAGAGTGGACATGGACCAGTGGGTAGAGTGGACATGGACCAGTGGACATGGACCAGTGGACATGGACCAGTGGGTAGAGTGGACATGGACCAGTGGGTAGAGTGGACATGGACCAGTGGGTAGAGTGGACATGGACCAGTGGGTAGAGTGGACATGGACCAGTGGGTAGAGTGGACATGGACCAGTGGGTAGAGTGGACATGGACCAGTGGACATGGACCAGTGGACATGGACCAGTGGACATGGACCAGTGGGTAGAGTGGACATGGACCAGTGGGTAGAGTGGACATGGACCAGTGGGTAGAGTGGACATGGACCAGTGGACATGGACCAGTGGGTAGAGTGGACATGGACCAGTGGGTAGAGTGGACATGGACCAGTGGGTAGAGTGGACATGGACCAGTGGACATGGACCAGTGGGTAGAGTGGACATGGACCAGTGGACATGGACCAGTGGGTAGAGTGGACATGGACCAGTGGACATGGACCAGTGGACATGGACCAGTGGGTAGAGTGGACATGGACCAGTGGACATGGACCAGTGGGTAGAGTGGACATGGACCAGTGGGTAGAGTGGACATGGACCAGTGGACATGGACCAGTGGACATGGACCAGTGGGTAGAGTGGACATGGACCAGTGGACATGGACCAGTGGGTAGAGTGGACATGGACCAGTGGGTAGAGTGGACATGGACCAGTGGGTAGAGTGGACATGGACCAGTGGACATGGACCAGTGGACATGGACCAGGGGACATGGACCAGTGGGTAGAGTGGACATGGACCAGTGGGTAGAGTGGACATGGACCAGGGGACATGGACCAGTGGGTAGAGTGGACATGGACCAGTGGGTAGAGTGGACATGGACCAGTGGGTAGAGTGGACATGGACCAGTGGACATGGACCAGTGGACATGGACCAGTGGACATGGACCAGTGGGTAGAGTGGACATGGACCAGTGGGTAGAGTGGACATGGACCAGTGGGTAGAGTGGACATGGACCAGTGGGTAGAGTGGACATGGACCAGTGGACATGGACCAGTGGACATGGACCAGTGGGTAGAGTGGACATGGACCAGTGGGTAGAGTGGACAGGTATAGGATTAACTAATTACAACACAAATTGATTTGATCCTTAGTAAAAGTAGGAAAATAAAAGACTTTTTTTTTCTTTAGATCTAAAAGAGCATATTTTGTAGCTGATGACAAAATATATGACACTAGCGTACCCGTCCCCCGCGTCGTTCTAAAAGTGAGTTATTTAAATGTAAACATGCCTGCGCTTAAATCATAAATATCGGGACACGGGTTTACCTACACTACCGCATGTAAACATTGAGTGTACATTAATCACTCACCGAAATAATATGTTAGAACACACTTCGGTGACCGCACATGTGTCAGAGACGTAGAGGGGCGCTCTCAGGGCCCCACCCCCCGATTAGACTACCGCATAGGCGCGGCGTACGACCCCTGGCTCCTTAAAAGTAACAGGCGCCATCGTGCCAAATAGCATCCTGTTAATAATGATGCAGATTTCGTCATTCGCTAAAGTGACACAAATGAACAGGATTGTTTTCTTTAACACGTAAAAAAAGTATCTAACGTGTTTTAAACATCAGTGTGACTTATGCAATATGCTAGCGTTACTAATGGTCTATTATTAGACGCTCGATCTCAATTTCTGACTGGCTTGTCTGATAGTAGATGCTTATTGCATCATTCGCAAAGTGAGGAAACTCTACAGTAGGCTCCTCGTATTCAAAAAGTTATTTTTTCATCTTTGGCAAGGTGACGAAACTGTACTGAAGGATTTCCTCGCGTTACAAAGTTATTTTTAGAAGCCTGTTGTAGTTTTACCACTGAATATAGTAGTACCCCTTTCTCGCTATGCAGGACGCTCGGTTAACGGATGCCAAGTGCCAACATAGTGGCTCTAAAACTCTGGGCGCCAAACCGTGTATTGACGAAAGTTGTACTTTAGTTTTCTTTTTCGCAGATATATTCTCGGGAGTATTCTCATCTACTCCCTAAAGTTTCATGGCACTTGGATGAACCGCATCCGAGTTTTATTTTTTATATAACGTGTATAGAGAAAACAAAAATCGCTCCCCCCCCCCCCCTCAGAGTTTGCCGCCCTTGCAATATTGAACAATTTTTTTTTTTTGCAGAACCCTACTATTGAGTGATCTAATCATCACCCCAAAGTTTCATGGTACATGGATGAACGGTGTGAAACCGAAATAGACTTTTAATTTTATAAACCGTATATCGAGAAAAAATTGCAGCCTCCCGTGGCGCCCACTTGCGAAATTTAAAAAGGATTTTTTTTTTTTTACAGAACCCTTCCCTAGAGTTTTATAATGAACTCCCCAAAGTTTCATGCCTATCGGATGAACGGTGTCACTGTAATTAATTCACTAATATTATTTATATATACCGTATATAGAGAAAAATCGGACCCTCCCGTGGCGCCGCCCTTGCGAAATTAAAAATTATTTTTTTACAGAACCCTTCCCTAGAGTTTTATAATGAACTCCCCAAAGTCTCATGGCTATCGGATGAACGATGCCAAACCAAAATCGACTTTTATTTTTATATACCGTATATAGAAAAAAACAAATCGCGCCCTGTCGGGGCGCCACCCCTGCGAATTTTTAATCTTTTTTTTCGCAGAAACCTCCCTAGGAATATTCTCAACAACTTCCCAAAGTTTCACGGCGATGTGATGAGAGGTGTAGTAATGCATAAAGGACAGACACACACACACAGACATACATTGCTTTTTATATATATAGATAGATAGATATAGATGCTTTAATTTTATGAACATATGATCTGAGTGCACTGAACTAATATCTCTTTTAGTTTTGCTAGTTGCTTGCTTCCATGTTTTGTGTGGGCAGCTCAAGTGAGAAGCAGCTAACTACTTACTTTAGCATTAAACTCTGCCAGGATTTCAAAATGTCTCTTGAGGTCTGTGGCCAGTATGGCTTCTATGACCAGGTAGCGAAATCTTTTAAATTCAGCAGCTTCCAGGCCAGTGATGAAATAATTCTTGGGCTCATTCAACAGCAGGGACCAGGCAGCTGCAGCGTGGTGGTTCTCTAGCACCGACCTGTCGTTGTAGAGGACAGCCTGAAAAAAGGCAGACATTGTAGAGGACAGCCTGAAAAAAGGCAGACATTGTAGAGGACAGCCTGAAAAAAGGCAGACATTGTAGAGGACAGCCTGAAAAAAGGCAGACATTGTAGAGGACAGCCTGAAAAAAGGCAGACATTGTAGAGGACAGCCTGAAAAAAGGCAGACATTGTAGAGGACAGCCTGAAAAAAGGCAGACATTGTAGAGGACAGCCTGAAAAAAGGCAGACATTGTAGAGGACAGCCTGAAAAAAGGCAGACATTGTAGAGGGCAGCATGAAAAAAGGCAGACATTGTAGAGGACAGCCTGAAAAAAGACATTGTAGAGGACAGCCTGAAAAAAGACAGACATTGTAGAGGACAGCCTGAAAAAAGACAGACATTGTAGAGGACAGCCTGAAAAAAGGCAGACATTGTAGAGGACAGCCTGAAAAAAAAACAGACATTGTAGAGGACAGCCTGAAAAAAGACAGACATTGTAGAGGACAGCCTGAAAAAAGGCAGACATTGTAGAGGACAGCCTGAAAAAAGGCAGACATTGTAGAGGACAGCCTGAAAAAAGACAGACATTGTAGAGGACAGCCTGAAAAAAGGCAGTTCTATTGGAGACTGTGGGATGGGAATAATGTCATCTGTGTATATCAGTGGTTCTCAACCTTTTTTCAAGTACTTTACCCAACCTGTTTCACTGAACCCTACAGAATAGTTTGATCTTCCGCACTGGCAAAATTCCAAAGTGAATCAGATGACTCAGATGTGTGTATTCACTTCCCCCCAACCCTGACTCACAGAACCCCAGGGGTTTGATGGAAAAACCGAACCACTGGTCTATATGGTAGAATAAATGAGCCCATTTCATGCTCATGTAGAGTGACACAATCTGCAATAGAACTGCAGAAGGCCACACAAGGCAGGCTTACAAGATTCTCAAAGTCAGTGGAACTCACCCTCCACCAGTGGTAGATAGCGAACATGCCCTGATAGGCAGGCCAAGCTGTATGTCAAGTAGGGCAGGCCAAGCTGTATGTCAAGTAGGGCAGGCCAAGCTGTATGTCAAGTAGGGCAGGCCAAGCTGTATGTCAAGTAGGGCAGGCCAAGCTGTATGTCAAGTAGGGCAGGCCAAGCTATATGTCAAGTAGGGCAGGCCAAGCTATATGTCAAGTAGGGCAGGCCAAGCTATATGTCAAGTAGGGCAGGCCAAGCTATATGTCAAGTAGGGCAGGCCAAGCTATATGTCAAGTAGGGCAGGCCAAGCTGTATGTCAAGTAGGGCAGGCCAAGCTATATGTCAAGTAGGGCAGGCCAAGCTGTATGTCAAGTAGGGCAGGCCAAGCTATATGTCAAGTAGAGCAGACTAAGATGACAAGGACCCTCTACAGATTGAGGCAGTCTTGTGTTTGAGTGGAGCATCAGATCAGTAGAGCAAGGATAGGACAGGCAGAATGCATCAAGAGGCAGACAATCAAAAGGCAGACAAAAGGCAGACAATCTCCAGAGACCTACTGCACACTTGATGCCACAGGAAATAAACTCACCCATAAAACTGTAGTACAGATTTAAAAATGAGGAGCTGTAGTAGCCACTAAAACTGACCTGCAGAGCTGTAGTAGCCACTAAAACTGACCTGCGGAGCTGTAGTAGCCACTAAAACTGACCTGCGGAGCTGTAGTAGTCACTAAAACTGACCTGCGGAGCTGTAGTAGCCACTAAAACTGACCTGCAGAGCTGTAGTAGCCACTAAAACTGACCTGCGGAGCTGTAGTAGCCACTAAAACTGACCTGCGGAGCTGTAGTAGTCACTAAAACTGACCTGCGGAGCTGTAGTAGCCACTAAAACTGACCTGCGGAGCTGTAGTAGCCACTAAAACTGACCTGCGGAGCTGTAGTAGCCACTAAAAATGCATTAGTACGACCAGGGTGGTCATAATCATGCATGGCAGCAGCAGTGTAAAGAGCCATCAACTCCAGAGCAGGAAGGTTGCCTCCCATGATGCCATAAGAGTCTTCTGCCATAAAACTTGTACGGTGTGTAATGCATTGACGATCAGAGGTTTCTGTGTCTGGGCCAATGACAAGAATTTTTTTACTTTAATTGTTGTACTCAAACATGATACAAATAATTGTTGTACTCCCAGATGATACAAATAATTGTTGTACTCCCACATGATACAAATAATTGTTGTACTCCCACATGATACAAATAATTGTTGTACTCCCACATGATACAAATAATTGTTGTACTCCCACATGATACAAATAATTGTTGTACTCCCACATGATACAAATAATTGTTGTACTCCCACATGATACAAATAATTGTTGTACTCCCACATGATACAAATAATTGTTGTACTCCCACATGATACAAATAATTGTTGTACTCCCACATGATACAAATAATTGTTGTACTCCCACATGATACAAATAATTGTTGTACTCCCACATGATACAAATAATTGTTGTACTCCCACATGATACAAATAATTGTTGTACTCCCACATGATACAAATAATTGTTGTACTCCCACATGATACAAATAATTGTTGTACTCCCACATGATACAAATAATTGTTGTACTCCCACATGATACAAATAATTGTTGTACTCCCACACAGACTAGATTAAATGATGCACCTGATTCACTGGAGGAGCCGTGCCTTGAATGTAGGGCGCTTGTGTTGATCTGTGTGAAGCCTGGGATGGGCTGTGTTGTCAGATAGTACACACCATGCAAGACATCAGTGGCATGAACACGGTTGTGATCTGGTGGTCAAATTACAAATCTTTAGAGTCACATCTACAATACAATGTTGTGATCTGGTGGTCAAATTACAAATCTTTAGAGTCACATCTACAATACAATGTTGTGATCTGCTGGTCAAAATACAAATCTTTAGAGTCACATCTACAATACAATGTTGTGATCTGATGGTCAAAATACAAATCTTTAGAGTCACATCTACAATACAATGTTGTGATCTGATGGTCAAAATACAAATCTTTAGAGTCACATCTACAATACAATGTTGTGATCTGCTGGTCAAAATACAAATCTTTGAGACTAATCAACATAGGTCCAGAGGGTTTATAGGAATGTTTGAAACCATTGAGACTAATCAACATAGGTCCAGAGGGTTTATAGGAATGTTTGAAACCATTGAGACTAATCAACATAGGTCCAGAGGGTTTATAGGAATGTTTGAAACCATTGACACTAATCAACATAGGTCCAGAAGGTTTATAGGAATGTTTGAAACCATTGAGACTAATCGACATAGGTCCAGAGGGTTTATAGGAATGTTTGAAACCATTGAGACTAATCAACATAGGTCCAGAGGGTTTATAGGAATGTTTGAAACCATTGAGACTAATCAACATAGGTCCAGAGGGTTTATAGGAATGTTTGAAACCATTGAGACTAATCAACATAGGTCCAGAAGGTTTATAGGAATGTTTGAAACCATTGAGACTAATCAACATAGGTCCAGAGGGTTTATAGGAATGTTTGAAACCATTGAGACTAATCAACATAGGTCCAGAAGGTTTATAGGAATGTTTGAAACCATTGAGACTAATCAACATAGGTCCAGAGGGTTTATAGGAATGTTTGAAACCATTGAGACTAATCAACATAGGTCCAGAGGGTTTATAGGAATGTTTGAAACCATTGAGACTAATCAACATAGGTCCAGAGGGTTTATAGGAATGTTTGAAACCATTGAGACTAATCAACATAGGTCCAGAGGGTTTATAGGAATGTTTGAAACCATTGAGACTAATCAACATAGCTCCAGAGGGTTTATGTCTAATTATTAAATAAAGTCACATTTTTCTGACACTGCATTGCTAGTGGATCTTGAGACAAGTTTAAATCTGCCTGGTACAAGTGCTCAACATTTGCTAGTGGATCTTGAGACAAGTTTAAATCTGCCTGGTACAAGTGCTCAACATTTGCTAGTGGATCTTGAGACAAGTTTAAATCTGCCTGGTAGAAGTGCTCAACATTTGCTAGTGGATCTTGATACAAGTTTAAATCTGCCTGGTACAAGTGCTCAACATTTGCTAGTGGATCTTGAGACAAGTTTAAATCTGCCTGGTACAAGTGCTCAACATTTGCTAGTGGATCTTGAGACAAGTTTAAATCTGCCTGGTACAAGTGCTCAACATTTGTCTGTTTAGACCCATGAAAAAACATTAAGCACGGGGAAGCAACTTACACTGGTGTAAAGTTTCCACCCATGAAAAAACATTAAGCACGAGGAAGCAAATTAGCAGAAAGAGATTCATATAAATAAAGCAAGGTACATTTTAAAAAAAAGTCTTATAATGAACATCAAATGCAGTTTGCCTCCTGATTGGACAACCCAATCCAATCTAAGTGAGCTGGTAGCTTGGCCTACTATTTGACTTACATGGCTTATCTCTGTAACCCAGCTCCAATGCATGAAAGTAGTGTAAAAACTCAGCTACAGGGATGCGGAATGTCTCCATTAATCCCACTTCAGTAAACAGCTGGTAGGCTACCTGCACATAGATTGGGGGAGGAATTTAAAAGAGATCATTTGCTTCCTGTCAAATGGAGTGTGATGAATATTGCATGATGAATGTTGTGAAAAGTGATGAATGTTGTGAAGAGTGATGAATGTTGTGAAGAGTGATGAATGTTGTGAGAAGAGGGATGAATGTTGTGAGATGAGTGATGAATGTTGTGAGATGAGTGATGAATGTTGGGAGATGAGTGATGAATGTTGTGAGATGAGTGACAAATGTTGTGAGATGTGTGATGAATGGTGTGAGATGTGTGATGAATGTTGTGAGATGAGTGATGAATGGTGTGAGTGAATGCTGTGAGATGATGAAGCATGTTATGGAGCCAGCACCCAAATATGCAGGCTGTCAACTATAGGAGCAGTTTGTGAATGTACCTTTGAGAGAAGAAATGTCCCCTCTGCATCTGCTGCATCAAAAATTGGAAAGTCCCATTCATTAAGACGAGCTATCTGTAGTAAACTATTTTTTTCAAATTCTTTTTCAGGATCAAATACAAGTTCTGTATGTTGATCATTTTTCTCTTCACATTTTTTAAACAAACATTCCATTTCCTTTTTATCACGTTTTCTTCTATCATCCTCCTCGTCTTCTTCATCTTCATCATCCCCATCCTCGTGTTCCTTGTCTGCTATGTGCCCCACTTTTTCCTTCACTTTAGCTACTGTACTTGGAGAGCAACGCAGCATATCCTGAGGAATGGGAAAATTTTGGTTTAAAAGCATGAATTAGCGCCCCAATCTACTGATGTGGGGCATCATTAAGCAGACAGGGGGCCAACAAGGAGAAGAAGGAGAATGTACCTTTTTAAGGGGAGATCCTGCCCTTTCTTCAGTGGTTCCCACATTATCACTGTGGTCACTGCTGCTGGGGGAGTCACTGCTTTCATAATCTGAAGTGATGAGGCGTTTCTGTATGATGCTGGAGCTGGCCACATTGGAGAGTACAGTCTCCTCCCCTGTACGGGCCAGAGGGCTGATGGCAGGTTTAGCATCGTTTCTAGTTGGGCTAGAGCCAAGGCTCTCACTGCTGGCAGTGCTCTTCCTAGCAAAGCGCCTGGAATAGGTGGGCTGGATTGTTGGGGCTGAGACCAGGGAGAAAGAGCGAGACTTGGGTATTGTTAACACTGTGGTACTGTTAGAGACAGAACTAGGGGAGGGACTGTTGCTCCTGCTACCATTGGGGCTAGAGCCTGGTGTACCTTCCCGAGAGTGTCTGAAGGAAGAAGATCGCAAGCGGCAGGGTTCAGGTTCTAGAGTTGGCATGCCAGTGGCCGAAGTTGTGGTGGTCCATGTGCTGGTGGACATGCGACGTATCAGTGATGGCGGCAAACTTCGCCGCAGACGCTGAAAAAGAAAATTGAATTCTACAGCAACCATGTTCAAAGCTGCCCCCACCCCCCCCCCCCACACATTTTTACAGTAATAATGCCCTTCAATATCTGGCACAAAAAAAAAAACCATCTGAAAATTATATGTCAATTTATCTGTTAAATAAATATAAATCTGTTTACTAATTCTATCACTAGTCTTGACTGCCTGCAATGGCATCTATGTCATCAGCAAATTGGATTTAGCTGCTACATTGTCCACTCCTGCTAATTTTCCTTTCTTTGGAGATTTTATGGCTGCCTCTATTTCTGCATGGATTGGGTCTTTGTGACATTAGGGACCTTGTCTTTGTGACATTAGGGACCTTGTCTTTGTGACATTAGGGACCTTGTCTGGGTCTTTGTGACATTAGGGACCTTGTCTTTGTGACATTAGGGACCTTATCTGGGTCTTTGTGACATTAGGGACCTTGTCTGGGTCTTTGTGACATTAGGGACCTTGTCTGGGTCTTTGTGACATTAGGGACCTTGTCTGGGTCTTTGTGACATTAGGGACATTGTCTGGGTCTTTGTGACATTAGGGACCTTGTCTTTGTGACATTAGGGACCTTGTCTGGGTCTTTGTGACATTAGGGACCTTGTCTGGGTCTTTGTGACATTAGGGACCTTGTCTGGGTCTTTGTGACATTAGGGACCTTGTCTGGGTCTTTGTGACATTAGGGACCTTATCTGGGTCTTTGTGACATTAGGGACCTTGTCTGGGTCTTTGTGACATTAGGGACCTTGTCTTTGTGACATTAGGGACCTTGTCTGGGTCTTTGTGACATTAGGGACCTTGTCTTTGTGACATTAGGGACCTTGTCTTTGTGACATTAGGGACCTTGTCTGGGTCTTTGTGACATTAGGGACCTTGTCTGGGTCTTTGTACTGGCTTGTATAGTTCCAGGACAATACTGGCTTGTATAGTTCCAGGACAATACTGGCTTGTATAGTTCCAGGACAATACTGGCTTGTATAGTTCCAGGACAATACTGGCTTGTATAGTTCCAGGACAATACTGGCTTGTATAGTTCCAGGACAATACTGGCTTGTATAGTTCCGGGACAATACTGGCTTGTATAGTTCCGGGACAATACTGGCTTGTATAGTTCCGGGACAATACTGGCTCCACCTTTTATAATGTAAACAGTTACACATTTTCCACTTTGATCATGTAAATGGGTGGTTCGAGCTTGCTTTTAAGTTGTCAGGGTCTTTACTAGTTGGTTGCTTTCTTGCTATTGTTGAGGTTCTCCCCCATTTCTCTGCACAATGATCAAATATTTGAGTATACCAAGAGATGCCCTGTAGTACTATGTATAGCATTACCTAGTAGTTGATTGCACCAGACCAGAGCAAAGCAAAAGGAAACTAATGCCAAGCAGTGGATCAAGTTGCCATGGCGCAACTGTCCAGTTGATGACCATTTAGTAGATAAGTCTTTGGTAGATAAGTCCAGTAGATGGATAGACTCACCTTGGGAAGTGTGGAGGGCCGTTCACCAGTGTAGGGGCTCTCCTCACTGTCTGAGCCGTAGTTGGTGCTCTCAGTCAGTGAGACAAGGGGGCTAACCCTGGCTTTGTGGAATGAGCCTTGAGCATCAGGAGGTTTGAGCAAGTTGCTGACAGCCCGCAGACCAGACACGATGTGTGGGGGGAGGCTGGTGTCTGCCAACATGTCTGTTATTAGCCCATGGGCTTCACCTATGATTGCAGATTCATAGCCAGCCGTGCAAGACTGAAAAATAAATGGTGTCTATAGAATAAGTGCTACTAAATAAATGGTGTCTATAGAATAAGTGCTACTAAATAAATGGTGTCTATAGAATAAGTGCTACTAAATAAATGGTGTCTATAGAATAAGTGCTACTAAATAAATGGTGTCTATAGAATAAGTGCTACTAATTAAATGGTGTCTATAGAATAAGTGCTACTAAATAAATGGTGTCTATAGAATAAGTGCTACTAAATAAATGGTGTCTATAGAATAAGTGCTACTAAATAAATGGTGTCTATAGAATAAGTGCTACTAAATAAATGGTGTCTATAGAATAAGTGCTACTAATTAAATGGTGTCTATAGAATAAGTGCTACTAAATAAATGGTGTCTATAGAATAAGTGCTACTAAATAAATGGTGTCTATAGAATAAGTGCTACTAAATAAATGGTGTCTATAGAATAAGTGCTACTAAATAAATGGTGTCTATAGAATAAGTGCTACTAAATAAATGGTGTCTATAGAATAAGTGCTACTAAATAAATGGTGTCTATAGAATAAGTGCTACTAAAAAAGCAATAAACTGGAAGTGATTTCATCAACCTAGCGGTAACGGCACTCAAGTTATCGTGTTCACACACACACAGAGACGGAACCCCGACAAAAGAGTGCTTGACAAAAGAGCGCAGACATAAGTCAATTAAAAAAACATGTTGTACGATCATGGTTAACACTTGTTTTAATTAAACAATGGACGGTACGATAAAACCACATGTGTTTATTTATATATATTATGGTTAATATGTAATGAATGCAGTTTGAAAATATTTCTTACCCAAGATCAAATCACAGAAAGAGAAGGTTATTATATTGGTCGAAGGCTACAGAAAGGACAGAGCAAATGCTGATGGAGATGCTGCAAGAAAGATGGCCGCCGGATGAAAATGCTGAACGATGTTGTTCTGTCATCATTGGAACACAATCACGCTCCTTATCTGGCTAAAAACGAAGCAGCGAAAGTGGTTTCGGTTATACGAAAACAAGCAGTGGAAGGCGTGGAAAAACCAAGGCAGATTATATAACAAGCCAGAGCAGAAATTTCGATGGAAGTAGCACCTCATTTGCCGGCGTACGTCGCTTCCCAACGTGCAATAGAAAGACAAGAGAAAACGCAAGCAGCTGCCAAACCCTGAGGCAGGGGTTCCCAACCCTGTGCTAACGATTCGTATGTGCCCTCCTCTCACTATTCAACAGAGACAGAATTTTTTTCATAACCATTATTTTAAAATATGATTTATTTTTATTCATTTCTTACAGTTTTAATTTTTTTGACTGCCTAGGTTTATTAAATATGTTCGCTGCTTGTCCCAACTTGTCTAGCGGCGAGCCAGACTGCACTATTTACGCTAGCCTGGAACGGCTAGTGCCATTTGCACATCACACCTTGTACACGCAGAAAACCCGAAGTGAACGAATGGAACGAACGCCACGAACTGATCTGATAAACGCCGAAGGCGCCAAATCACAAGGCACATAACTCTGATTACTTCGGCGATCATCGGCTCACTTCGGGTTTTCCGCGTGTACATGGAGTGATGTGCAAAAAGCATTCCCCGCCTGGAACCGCGTGGTTGTCATTGTGATTGCTGCCCTGGTCGGGTCGCGACAGTTAGATAAGAGACATGTTCGTCAGACGAAACACGAATTAGGATTTTTCTATAAAAAAATTAACAGGCTAAAAGCGAGGTGCGTAATTTATTGTATTCAATGTTTTCTTTGTATTTATGTGTTTTGTTTACTTTCTTTACGTTTTGTAAATACATTTCTCTGTGTGTATGCAATTTGAAAAAAATGTCAAATAATTTTATTATTTTGAAACATTTTTGTTTATTATTTATTAGTACATTATGACTATAAGTAAATAAGAAAATAAATTATGGGAACATGACAAGTTATGGAAGAAATTTGTCGATTTAAAATAGGTGGTGCCCGCCACCCTACCGATATTTAAGAATGTGCTCTAGAGTAAAAAAAAAGGTTGGGAACCCCTGCCCTAAGGTGTAGAAAGCCCATCAGTCAGTACTGAGGTGTAGAAAGCCCATCAGTCAGTACTAAGGTGTAGAAAGCCCATCAGTCAGCACTGACCTAAGGTGTAGAAAGCCCATCAGTCGGCACTGACCTAAGGTGTAGAAAGCCCATCAGTCAGTACTGACCTAAGGTGTAGAAAGCCCATCAGTCAGTACTGAGGTGTAGAAAGCCCATCAGTCAGTACTAAGGTGTAGAAAGCCCATCAGTCAGCACTAAGGTGTAGAAAGCCCATCAGTCAGTACTGACCTAAGGTGTAGAAAGCCCATCAGTCAGTACTGACCTAAGGTGTAGAAAGCCCATCAGTCAGCACTAAGGTGTAGAAAGCCCATCAGTCAGTACTGACCTAAGGTGTAGAAAGCCCATCAGTCAGCACTAAGGTGTAGAAAGCCCATCAGTCAGTACTGACCTAAGGTGTAGAAAGCCCATCAGTCAGCACTAAGGTGTAGAAAGCCCATCAGTCAGTACTGACCAGAGGTGTAGAAAGCCCATCAGTCAGTACTAAGGTGTAGAAAGCCCATCAGTCAGTACTGACCTAAGGTGTAGAAAGCCCATCAGTCAGTACTGACCTAAGGTGTAGAAAGCCCATCAGTCAGCACTAAGGTGTAGAAAGCCCATCAGTCAGTACTGACCTAAGGTGTAGAAAGCCCATCAGTCAGTACTAAGGTGTAGAAAGCCCATCAGTCAGTACTGACCAGAGGTGTAGAAAGCCCATCAGTCAGCACTAAGGTGTAGAAAGCCCATCAGTCAGTACTGACCTAAGGTGTAGAAAGCCCATCAGTCAGCACTAAGGTGTAGAAAGCCCATCAGTCAGCACTAAGGTGTAGAAAGCCCATCAGTCAGTACTGACCTAAGGTGTAGAAAGCCCATCAGTCAGTACTGAGGTGTAGAAAGCCCATCAGTCAGTACTGAGGTGTAGAAAGCCCATCAGTCAGCACTGAGGTGTAGAAAGCCCATCAGTCAGTACTGAGGTGTAGAAAGCCCATCAGTCAGTACTGACCTAAGGTGTAGAAAGCCCATCAGTCAGTACTGACCTAAGGTGTAGAAAGCCCATCAGTCAGTACTGACCTAAGGTGTAGAAAGCCCATCAGTCAGTACTGAGGTGTAGAAAGCCCATCAGTCAGTACTGACCTAAGGTGTAGAAAGCCCATCAGTCAGCACTGAGGTGTAGAAAGCCCATCAGTCAGTACTGACCTAAGGTGTAGAAAGCCCATCAGTCAGCACTGACCTAAGGTGTAGAAAGCCCATCAGTCAGTACTGACCTAAGGTGTAGAAAGCCCATCAGTCAGTACTGACCTAAGGTGTAGAAAGCCCATCAGTCAGTACTAAGGTGTAGAAAGCCCATCAGTCAGTACTGACCTAAGGTGTAGAAAGCCCATCAGTCAGTACTGACCTAAGGTGTAGAAAGCCCATCAGTCAGTACTGAGGTGTAGAAAGCCCATCAGTCAGTACTGACCTAAGGTGTAGAAAGCCCATCAGTCAGTACTGACCTAAGGTGTAGAAAGCCCATCAGTCAGCACTAAGGTGTAGAAAGCCCATCAGTCAGTACTGACCTAAGGTGTAGAAAGCCCATCAGTCAGTACTGACCTAAGGTGTAGAAAGCCCATCAGTCAGTACTGACCTAAGGTGTAGAAAGCCCATCAGTCAGTACTGAGGTGTAGAAAGCCCATCAGTCAGCACTAAGGTGTAGAAAGCCCATCAGTCAGTACTGACCTAAGGTGTAGAAAGCCCATCAGTCAGTACTGAGGTGTAGAAAGCCCATCAGTCAGCACTAAGGTGTAGAAAGCCCATCAGTCAGTACTGACCTAAGGTGTAGAAAGCCCATCAGTCAGTACTGACCTAAGGTGTAGAAAGCCCATCAGTCAGCACTAAGGTGTAGAAAGCCCATCAGTCAGTACTGACCTAAGATGTAGAAAGCCCATCAGTCAGTACTGAGGTGTAGAAAGCCCATCAGTCAGCACTAAGGTGTAGAAAGCCCATCAGTCAGTACTGACCTAAGGTGTAGAAAGCCCATCAGTCAGTACTGACCTAAGGTGTAGAAAGCCCATCAGTCAGTACTGAGGTGTAGAAAGCCCATCAGTCAGTACTGACCTAAGATGTAGAAAGCCCATCAGTCAGCACTAAGGTGTAGAAAGCCCATCAGTCAGTACTGACCTAAGGTGTAGAAAGCCCATCAGTCAGTACTGACCTAAGGTGTAGAAAGCCCATCAGTCAGTACTGACCTAAGATGTAGAAAGCCCATCAGTCAGTACTGAGGTGTAGAAAGCCCATCAGTCAGCACTAAGATGTAGAAAGCCCATCAGTCAGTACTGAGGTGTAGAAAGCCCATCAGTCAGTACTGACCTAAGATGTAGAAAGCCCATCAGTCAGCACTAAGGTGTAGAAAGCCCATCAGTCAGTACTGAGGTGTAGAAAGCCCATCAGTCAGTACTGACCTAAGGTGTAGAAAGCCCATCAGTCAGTACTGACCTAAGGTGTAGAAAGCCCATCAGTCAGTACTGACCTAAGGTGTAGAAAGCCCATCAGTCAGTACTAAGGTGTAGAAAGCCCATCAGTCAGTACTGAGGTGTAGAAAGCCCATCAGTCAGTACTGACCTAAGATGTAGAAAGCCCATCAGTCAGCACTAAGGTGTAGAAAGCCCATCAGTCAGTACTGAGGTGTAGAAAGCCCATCAGTCAGTACTAAGGTGTAGAAAGCCCATCAGTCAGCACTAAGGTGTAGAAAGCCCATCAGTCAGTACTGAGGTGTAGAAAGCCCATCAGTCAGTACTGACCTAAGGTGTAGAAAGCCCATCAGTCAGTACTGAGGTGTAGAAAGCCCATCAGTCAGTACTGACCTAAGGTGTAGAAAGCCCATCAGTCAGTACTGACCTAAGATGTAGAAAGCCCATCAGTCAGTACTAAGGTGTAGAAAGCCCATCAGTCAGTACTGACC